CATATAGTGCAGAATGTCACTTAGCACCATGGTATGCCTGTTATGGTTCTCTAGACTTTTTCCATGCTTTCGCAGCTGACATTCAAGATTTTTCAGTTTGCCGGAGAATGTTTTTTGTCATTTTACCACTTTTATGTAGGTGTTGACCCTCTCTTTTAAATTAAGTCTCAGTCAGGATGTTTATTTTAGCATGATTTGTCAAGCACATTAATGTACTGAAATATTAATAAATTACAAATTAAAGTGATGAAGAAATTTGACATATTTACACAATCAAAATATCAGAATAACCATAATTCAGCTAATAAAGTGCCCTGTTCTTCTTTTGTCACTTCCTATAAATTTTATCAGCAGTTTTTGTACACCCACCCACCTCCAAGAATCATGGAGGATGGCCTGATATTAGTTTATTTGTTGCATTTATTCACATTTAAAAGTGTTAAGACCCATAAAAATGTTTAAGATTTATATTTTTGAATTTAAATGTTGAATTTTTATGTAAATTTGGTGAAACAAAAAGCTGTAATCTTGAATTAATCATGCAAATTCATCAAACATCTTTGAAATTCCTGAGTAATTGAATGAAAAGAGAATAATTATGTATGTTCAATTGGAATTTCATGGCTAATTTGTGTCTGCAGAGAAAGCCAGTTACATAAATCACAACAATAAATTACATCTGAATTGTTTTCTCCATTTTCTTATCATCAAAGCAAGTTTAATGGAGTGTCAGAGCTGTCCAGAACCTCCCCAGATGCTGATATCATTTGGACTGCCCTGTGTTACAACACAGCTTTTAGATAAACTTCTGCATAGCAGGTTGTAGACAAGTACCTAGGCTTTATTTGGAACATAAATTGACCAGATGCAGATTTTATTATCAGCCTAATATTTAAGAATTTCTGTAAATTCTGTCATTCTTAGGAGGGTAAAATGCAATTTTGTTATGTAATAATTGCATAATGGTCTCAGACTTGTGAATTATTTTTTGTTTGTTGTGAAGAACAGTGCATATACTCTCCATGGATACAAAATTGGTTGCCAGGCTTAGTTTATTAAGGATGAAATTCTGCTTCAAAATATGCACAAAAAACTTCTGTCAGAGTGCTCAGTGTGTATTCTTGACAGCTCTGGAGTAAGGGAGATAAATGCATCATATCTCCAGCAATAATGGGAATTAGATCCCCAGACTTCAGGATGTTAGTGACAGTTATTTAAGAAATCTCAGGTGCAAAAATGAAAAAAATCTGACAACTTCAAAGGTCCTTCAAGGTATCACACCGGTAATTGACCAATCAAAATGTACTTAGTCAATTGTAGTTCCATACACAATAAAGAAATATTTTTTTTATTGTGAGAATTTTTTTAATTTCCCTTATTCTATTTTTACATTTTTGGTATCTGTGCTTAGGATATTTTATGTACTTTGTAAAATATTAAAGGTTTTTGACAGGAACTATTTCTTTCGGGGCATAGGAGGCCACTTCCTGGGGTGCACACAGGATGTTTATAAACACATTGAATACACGTGGTTTTGAGGGTATTCCTGTTTGCGGATGGAAAAAATCAGAAAATGCCGTGTAGGTACCCTATTTTTTGGTGTCAGCTGATGTGACTGGTAACGTTTAACACTTTCTGCTAAATATTTTTTCATGAATTCGAATACCTGATTTTTAATGATTTTTTATTCTATATAGAATTACATAGTGAAAACAATTACCGGTGTGATACCTTGAAGGTGATTGTGTAAAATCATCTACACCCATATTAAAGGCAATTTTAATTTTATAAAGGCATCTTTCAACAAAATATGTCATTTTATTAACTTTCTGTGTGAAAGCACATATTTTTAGATTTAGAAGCAGGGTTGACATTAATTTATACAGATTTCTATGTAAAATACTAATAATATGTCATGTTTTACCCTCAAAACTCCAAATTATGACTTTCAAAGTAGGATTATGCATCTGACATGTAGAAAGAAGTTAGAAAATGTTGGTTTTTTATTTTAGATGACTTTAAACTCTGTGCACCACCTGACCGCAGTCAATTATAGTGTCTACAGACTTTGCCGTAAAAGCGCTTTAGGCTGATTTTTTCAAGAAAAGACTAATTCTGGGTTTGCGAATGAGTTTTCAACAAAAGCAACAACTGCGATAAAATGTGAAGAAGTAAAACATGTTTTTAAAAAGTGTTAAATTTTACAGAGACTGGGTTTACTTTCATTTTATTCACCTTAAGTGATTCATTTATTACTGGAATGGAGGCATAGAAATAATGAAATGAGTTAAATTTGTCTAATAAAAGTAAAGTACAAATAAAATTTATTAAGAATTTTTCAAAAATAAGAAGCTTATGACCAAAAATGCATAAATACTGTCAGGGCATGAGAGTGAATACTTATTCTGAGTCCCAACCATGCATCACACATATAGTGCAGAATGTCACTTAGCACCATGGTATGCCTGTTATGGTTCTCTAGACTTTTTCCATGCTTTCGCAGCTGACATTCAAGATTTTTCAGTTTGCCGGAGAATGTTTTTTGTCATTTTACCACTTTTATGTAGGTGTTGACCCTCTCTTTTAAATTAAGTCTCAGTCAGGATGTTTATTTTAGCATGATTTGTCAAGCACATTAATGTACTGAAATATTAATAAATTACAAATTAAAGTGATGAAGAAATTTGACATATTTACACAATCAAAATATCAGAATAACCATAATTCAGCTAATAAAGTGCCCTGTTCTTCTTTTGTCACTTCCTATAAATTTTATCAGCAGTTTTTGTACACCCACCCACCTCCAAGAATCATGGAGGATGGCCTGATATTAGTTTATTTGTTGCATTTATTCACATTTAAAAGTGTTAAGACCCATAAAAATGTTTAAGATTTATATTTTTGAATTTAAATGTTGAATTTTTATGTAAATTTGGTGAAACAAAAAGCTGTAATCTTGAATTAATCATGCAAATTCATCAAACATCTTTGAAATTCCTGAGTAATTGAATGAAAAGAGAATAATTATGTATGTTCAATTGGAATTTCATGGCTAATTTGTGTCTGCAGAGAAAGCCAGTTACATAAATCACAACAATAAATTACATCTGAATTGTTTTCTCCATTTTCTTATCATCAAAGCAAGTTTAATGGAGTGTCAGAGCTGTCCAGAACCTCCCCAGATGCTGATATCATTTGGACTGCCCTGTGTTACAACACAGCTTTTAGATAAACTTCTGCATAGCAGGTTGTAGACAAGTACCTAGGCTTTATTTGGAACATAAATTGACCAGATGCAGATTTTATTATCAGCCTAATATTTAAGAATTTCTGTAAATTCTGTCATTCTTAGGAGGGTAAAATGCAATTTTGTTATGTAATAATTGCATAATGGTCTCAGACTTGTGAATTATTTTTTGTTTGTTGTGAAGAACAGTGCATATACTCTCCATGGATACAAAATTGGTTGCCAGGCTTAGTTTATTAAGGATGAAATTCTGCTTCAAAATATGCACAAAAAACTTCTGTCAGAGTGCTCAGTGTGTATTCTTGACAGCTCTGGAGTAAGGGAGATAAATGCATCATATCTCCAGCAATAATGGGAATTAGATCCCCAGACTTCAGGATGTTAGTGACAGTTATTTAAGAAATCTCAGGTGCAAAAATGAAAAAAATCTGACAACTTCAAAGGTCCTTCAAGGTATCACACCGGTAATTGACCAATCAAAATGTACTTAGTCAATTGTAGTTCCATACACAATAAAGAAATATTTTTTTTATTGTGAGAATTTTTTTAATTTCCCTTATTCTATTTTTACATTTTTGGTATCTGTGCTTAGGATATTTTATGTACTTTGTAAAATATTAAAGGTTTTTGACAGGAACTATTTCTTTCGGGGCATAGGAGGCCACTTCCTGGGGTGCACACAGGATGTTTATAAACACATTGAATACACGTGGTTTTGAGGGTATTCCTGTTTGCGGATGGAAAAAATCAGAAAATGCCGTGTAGGTACCCTATTTTTTGGTGTCAGCTGATGTGACTGGTAACGTTTAACACTTTCTGCTAAATATTTTTTCATGAATTCGAATACCTGATTTTTAATGATTTTTTATTCTATATAGAATTACATAGTGAAAACAATTACCGGTGTGATACCTAAAGGCTATAGTCTTGGGAGCAGTTGTTATTTCATAAATAATTTGAATAGGTGATATCACCTATTCGAATAAGTGATATCACCTATTCAAAATGAATAAGTGATATCACCTATTCGAATAAGTGATATCACCTATTCGAATAGGTGATATCACCTATTTGATTTGAATAGGTGATATCACCTATTCGAATAAGTGATATCACCTATTCAAAAGGAATAAGTGATATCACCTATTCGAATAAGTGATATCACCTATTCGAATAAGTGATATCACCTATTCGAATAGGTGATATCACCTATTCGAATAGGTGATATCACTCATTCAAATTGAATAGGTGATATCACCTATTCGAATAGGTGATATCACTTATTCGAATAGGTGATATCACCTATTCGAATAGGTGATATCACCTATTCAGAAGCTGAATAGGTGATATCACTTATTCGAATAGGTGATATCACCAATTGAATAGGTGATATCACCTATTCGAATAGGTGATATCACTTTTTGGCAGTAAATACCAAAACAGCGCCTCATATTAGTTGGCTAAGTTAGTTAAGACTAACCCAACATTTATTAGAAAAATTATTGTTAGTTAACTAAGTTAGTTAAGACTAACACAAAAAGAAATGGAAATTCTTGTTAGTTGTCTAAGTTAGTCTGACTAAGGGCTTTTTTCTTGAAAACCCCAAATTCCAATAATCAAAATAATTCCAAATTCAAATAATACACTGTTGTAATCATTTTGACAGAAAATATCTAACTTGCATTTGATTTGTTTGTGTGTTTGGGTATTTTTGGATCAATTTCTTATTTCTCTGGAAATTCTAATTTTACAGATCCAAATTTTACGAGTTGTGATGGGTCCCCCAACTTCTCTTAACCTGAGAAATATTGTGTGGCATGGATTTCCTAATGTTGGGGAGATACCAAAGAGGTATACAATCAAATATTCTTTTGTGATCTGTGTCCCGTTTACCACTAGCCATTCTGAAAATCAATCACTGTAAGATTGCTGGATGATGGAATGTGGATTCTTTAATTACCTTATAGTCTAAGAATGAATTTTGAGATTTATAGTGACAGATAGATGTAGATTCAAGGTGACATTTATTCAGAATGAAATCTGCCTTCTAGATATGGATGTTTCCTGTACCTCACCCTGCCTAGTTTTGGTAAACTCCTGGAGGAGAGGGGTCAACACGTACAGGTCCATAGACAGCTAATGCAGTTCAAATTAGATCCAAAGTTTACCTCTCATGCTCTAGGTAATTAAGTTTTAATTACCTCTAAGATCTAGAGTTTGCAATGTAAATGAATCAGTGTTTTGTTTGATTTTATTTAGTCTATTTGTGTCCAGATTTCCTATGAAACAAGAAAACTTGTATAAAAAAATTTCAACACAATACACAGAGCTCTATGCTAGATGCTTACTGTTATAAATGCTGTACGCAGCCTTATTTTTGCTGCAGTTTTGCAGGATAAAACTGAAAAAAAATAACAGCTCGTGTAGTAGATTTTTACATATGATATATAATTATGATTATGATGAATAATGTATAAAAATGGTTAGAAAACTTAAAATTCAAAATTGTACAACAACAGATTTGGTTTAGAAAAGGTTATAGAACTGTGAGTGAAAAAAGGTATATAATATACTGTATATCTAATGTTGTAGTGTCTGTATACAATTTTGTTCAGTAATATTATTTTGTCTGTATACAATACATCATGTACATTATCGTTTTGTCTTCATATACAGATGTGTTGTTGCGTTTGTTTGAAGTATAACCCAGTAATGTTTTATCTAACTAGACATAAGAAACAAATTGCCCTTGGTGAAGGAGTTAGTGGAAATGACTCCGGACATCCATGGCCGACAGCATTTGATACAGTGCTCCTTAGAATTAATGGCTGAAAAACAATATTTCTATGCCACCATTTTGTTGCTGCCTCAACTGGAGCACATTCTAAGGCTGGTATTTACCAAAGAAAATGGCTGCTCAGAAAGACTGCTTACAGCCGAGGTTAGTTCCAGTCACAAGATGTATTTAATGAATCACTGTCTAGTTTGTTGGGTATGCCAGAGCATCAATGACAGATGGAAATGTGGGATAATTTGCATAATGGGCGAAGTCCGTTATGCATAAATTATCCCACGTTTCAAACTGTCGTTGATGTCCCTAGCATACCCAACAAACCAGGCCGTGATTCCTTATATTTACATTTATATATGAAATAAAATTGTAAATATAAATAAAAAATGCTGTCTAATAGATTTAAAGTACACGAGGCCTCCATGTTAATTTCAGTAGTCCCTGCCCACTGGCATCAGACACAAAGACAGCCGCACGAGATTGACATGCATATTAGACTCCTGTGGACCTTTTCACAAAAAATCTTACAACATATTTTTATCTTAAGTGAAAACTTATGATAAAAATCGTTTTCACAAAATTTCTTAAGAAAGTCCTAAGTGCAAAATCTGTCGTAACTTTACGAGAGCCCCAACCCACTCTTAAGTATTTTATAATAGATTTTATTGTAAAAATATAACCGCAAAAAACAAAATACACGTTACATTAAACTTTTTAAAGCAACTTCCAATAATATTTTAAATTTTTTTTTCACAATCATTGTCGAAAAATTAAATGAAATACACTTCAAAATATTTACGATGTAAGTTTCACTTAAGATTTTCGTATGACCTACTTTTACGTCAGACTTGCAATTGTGACGACAGATTTTAAACTACCTTGCTTCACAAACGATTGCATTCGATATTTGTATTCAATAATGTTTGTTTTGCTGACAAATGTTGAAAACTAAGTTTTATTTTTATTTTCACACACTTATTTAAGGATTATAAAGCATATTGAAGTCGTTGCTAGAGATGAAGTCTGTCGTAAGTAAAATCTTAAGTTCAATCTGCTACGAATGCGTTCGTGAAAAGCACTTAAGATTTGTCGTAAGAGATTCTTAAGTTAAAATCCTATGCAAAAACTTAAGATTTTTTGTGAAAAGGGCTACTGACCTCTCACTTGGCGAAATTTACATTCAGGTGTAATTATCAAGAAATCAACTTTCATAGAGTTATTACAGAGAAAACAATTAAAAATATAAATATTGTGAAATCACTAATTTTTGTGAGGTTTATTACATCCCCCACAATCGAAGTTGGGGGGGGTATACATGTATTGAAATGTCCATCACAGACTTTCAAATTTTGAAATTTATCAGCACACTTTAAGTGTATTTAAGACATAAATCCAAGAAATTAGTGCAATTTTCTACCTGTGGATTATACAGAAATTGTGATTCCGCAGAATTATGACCTGGTGGGAAAAAAGTACATTTTATAGTGTACTGCACTTTTATGTATCATGTTTCTGTAAACTTGATGTGACCTCTGAACTATTTTTTGTGTATTTAATATTTGGTTGGCTTTACATCAGAAGTTGTGGCTAATGTATAATGTATCATTGATTAACCCGTATATAAATACATGTACCGTATACTTGTTTACTTACGTTTACTTTTTCGTCTGTCTTTTGCAGTACACTACACTCTATACTACATTTGATGAGGTCAGATAATACTTCCTTCTCCTTTATTCTGTTCTGCTTTGGATAAACGTTGTGTAGTTAATTGAAAAATTTCTAAAGTCTGTAATTATTCTTTCAATTTATTAACTTTTTGTGAAACATAATATGACAATATTTGATATAATTAGTTAAGTAACATTTCAATTTTTTTCTTCACATTAGATATTTGATAAACATTTACCTAATGGAGAAAGGAACAGACTTCCAGAAACACTTGGAGAAAATCTCATGGAAAGTACTGTTTTTAGTGAACCCCAAACCAGAGAATGGATGACAATTTAAATTACTTTTACAATATAAATATTTCTTATGTGTCCTTAGGGATGAGCTTAAAAAAGTTCATTTTTAAATTAATACCATACATATTTATCTAAAAGTATAATTTACAATATAGTACACGTGCCCTGTAAAATTCAGACAGTAACAAGAATTTTGTGGATTTTTTTCAGACTTGCTCTTTTGTGTATATCTATTGTTGCGTTTGATTTTTCAGGACCTCTTGTTTGACCTTTTAGTTTACCCTGAGGGCCCCAGGGTCAGAGACAAGGTTAGCCATGGAGAGGCTGATCTCCTGCAGGACTTCCCAGAATCCTTAGCTGAAGTTGTTCTGGTTGCCATGGTGATTTTGATTTTGAAATGCTCCAAAATTACAGACATAGGAAAGGTATGTAAGATGTCAAAATAATTTATTTGCTCAATGACCCCTCTGAGTTATGGTTGTATAGTAATGTAGAGTAGACATTCTAGAATTAATGACTAATCCTTGAGTCATGTTTTCTTTGATGCCCAGTTAAAAAAGGCACCACGAAAAAGTTCAATTCTGAAATTATAATACTGTATAGACTTTGTTCTAGCTCTGTTAGAAAGGATGTACCAGTATTCTGAATTTCAAAAGAATTGTCCTATAGGAGAGAACAATGTCCAAAAATCAATGTTCATTAGTTATTTTCTCCCATTTATTGGTCTAAATTTTTCAAATTTGCTTTTTGAACCTAGTAAGATTTATTATTTGCAAACTTCAAATTAATCTCCAAAGTTGGTTAAAACAGCATTTTCTCCATGAAAGCACAGATTTCTCCATGAATTTTGGTCTAGAAGTCCTTCAAGGCAGGCTAGTTAGAATAATCTAACTGTGTCTCGGGACAAGCCCTCACCATAACCGGGTCCGTAGGACAATATCATTTTAATGATAGAACGTGCTATCTAAAGGCAGGCCTGCCCCTAAATAAAATTATATTTTTGATAAGTTGTGATCTAAGGAATTATTTAAGATAGGATTTTTTTAGGGGCACCCCTGCCCTAGAGTCTAAATTCACAAAACACCTACAAAAAATAAGGAAACCTGTTTTTGACAACCTGGTTCATATTTATACCATCTATTTTCATAGCCAGAATAGCTCAATTGGTATAACAGCTGACTTTAGCATAGCTAATATTTTTTTAGAGTCATGGTTTGAATCCACCTGGTGCCACACTTTTATAGTTTTAAATTCTCGCCTTTTCAAAGACTATTTTTTTTTAGTAGGGGCTTATGTATCTATCTTTTATGCATATAAAAGACACTAAAGAGAAAGCAAATCGTAAATTCCATGGTACCTAAAACACAGCGGAACAATACCATAGTATAGCACACTTTCTCCGAGAACAAGAATTATTCACTCTGTGTTTCTCAATACAGGTATTTCATCAGCAATGAGTTGTGGTGAATTCTATATTGTAAATACAATGTAAATTCCTTACAATTTAATCAATTCAGTTTATTACATTGCTTTTATTCTGACTGTACTTGTACTCGTCTGGGTTATTGCGCTGGAAAGTATATGTATTGATTGTATTATTTGAGCTTAAATATGATATTACAATTACATACATATACTTTTTTAGTCAGTGTCCAAAATTCAGTTTTCAATTTTTTAAACAGCATCGTTACACATTAATAACTGCACTCCCTTGGATTTCAATTATATTATTTATATAAGCGTACATTTATGGCAATGTTTTTATATCCACCGAAATGTGTTGTAAAATAAAAAAGCATTATGACTGTAGACATTACCATTATGTACAATGAAAAGTAAAGAAAAATATCAAATAACATATTTCAAGACAACAAACTCAAAATGTGTTGACAATATCATGCTTCATAGTTTATGCCTATGAAAAAGTTCCTCCTATCTCTACATACTGAAATAAAATGATTTATGCAAAACAAATAGGTACAGATGTAGCCTAAAATCATTGACCAGAAAGGTATTATCGGCAAGTTTTTTGTGAAGACTAAAACCAATACCAGCCCTATAGGTTCAAGCTCCATTTATAAAGAAGTGTACCTCTCTGTTGAAGCTATAAATATATAAACAATTTTTGTTTATCTTTTTATTAATCTCAAAAAGAGATATTTTAGGTTTAAAAAAGCAATACTGGTATATCTGATACTGAAATTAAATAGGAAATTTGACCTGTGTGAATGCACCAAGGCAATAAAAAAAAATCAAGTTTAAATATAAAATGTAATTATGGTAATTTTAATCCTCATTTTAGTTTTTGCACATTCTGTGACATTTAAAAGCACATGGAATATCTATTTTCTTTTAAAAATAGTAAGCTTTCTAGGTCTTGAATCTGTGGCTCAACGTGTATCACCCTAGCTTAGAACTTCAAAACAATTAACCCACTATTCATGTTTCCATAGGACTTACATGTATATGTCAGAATCAGAATTCTATAAAATCAGTAAAGAAGTCACTGCCTTAAAGCTTCCTCACAGCCTAGATTCTAGTTTGTTCATATTATGGCATCTACAATAGGACATCAAAGTTTTACACTGGAATACATGGGAAAACATTATATGTAAAAGTAACAAAAAAAAATAGAAAATGACATTTGACACCCTCAGGAAACACGAAGTCCCTCTTGTAGTGGTAAGGAGATTGAGTCATGGTCGGTAACTGAAAAAAATTGAACAAGGGAAGTGTCTTTTTCTACTCTTCCCCCATCCCCATGTGAAATTGATTTTTCAGGATTGGGCAAGTTGTTAATGTTTATTTTGCTCACCTTGATGAAGTCGAGATGAGCTTATGCTATTCCCCCTTTCTGGACCAAACTTGCATTGATGATGCACCTAGGGATGCACACTACCAGACTTGCTTGGGATCTTATAGCTCTGACCTACATTTTCTGGATGACTGAATAGGTTAAACGTTTTGGAGCATATAAACTAAATATAAATTGTGCATATCATTGCCCCGGTAGGTCAGGGGTCCCGCTGTTAAGGTAGGGCTCTGTTGTTTACTGTCGATTCCTAAATATATATACAAGGAATTAATTACCGTGTAATTTCGTGAGAAGCACTACTCGCGAAAATAAAATTACTCGCATTTATTTTTAAGGTGCTGAAATCCATGTAAAATCTATTGATCAACTTGTCACTCGCGATTTAATATTCTCACGATTTGACGTCTAAGAGTCATTTCGAGATATTAAGTACAGTCAAACCTCATTATCTTGAACTCGATTGGACCTAGAAAAAACTTCGAGATATCCAAGGGTTTGAGATATTGAGGGTAAAATACTTAAGAAACACGTGGCAAGGACTTCCCAAGCTTTTCGACATATCCATGGTATTCAAGATATCCGTGTTCGAGATACCGAAGTTCAACTGTACTTGCGTAAAATTAGGAATCTACAGTATTAGTCCAGTCAAAGTGTCATAAACCTTAAACAAATTGCAACAGAATTTTTTTCTTTATCAATAATTAGTAAATTGTATTAAAATCAACATATAAAAACTCTAGAAAAATATATAAAGGTGAAAGATGTGTTTTTCCGGAATAAATATTTACTGGTCTGATAAAATATGTTTTGCAGAATTGTGCTACCATATGCACCAAGGGAGACAATTTTAACCACCGTAAACAAACCGCTTTTCTTCTTAAACAAGCATAATAAAATTTATAATTCATTTTTTATACATGTTTAGGTTTAAATTTCACCAGTGCACTGAAGATTTAAGATCTGAGAATTCTATATATTCTAAACTTAACGACATATTGTTGAAATCATAGTCTATTATCTGTATCACAATTTTTAAGCATGTAGGAACCTTTCTATCAAAATATGGGTCTATGAATCAAAAAAAAAAAATATATTAATTATGTAATTCTGTAAAAATTCAAACTTCTAATTAAAAATAGCTCATGCACATATATAAATTAGTGTTTACGTGTCTTTAATTAGATGTTGGAAATATTAGGGGAAATAATCTATGCAAAGTCGTTAGTGGTATTATTGCAACATAAAAATATTTTATTACCTAAAAGTAATACTTTTGGTGTATAACCTTGTTTAAAGATTTTTTTCTTTAGAATGTTGATTATATTAGTGAGATCTACTTTGCTAAAAAAAAAAATATATAGATTAAGCCATCTTTAAAAACCTGTTTGGTTGCCCTCTCCCGACCGACTGACTAAAAATGGCCCGACTCAAAACTTTTTGTTATATTCCAGGACATCATAATTTTTTTTTCTTTTTATTCATCTTATCTCGTCAACAAATATGTTGAAATTGTCTAGAAAAAAGGATAATAATAATTTTACCCAAATCAGGAGAGGGCAAACAAAAATTATTTAAAAGATGGCCTTATTTTGTGTGTGTTATTTGTGTGTGCATATTCACTAATAATGATGCCTATTATGCAATCTGATTAAAATCAGATCTTTGGTGCGCTTTGAAATTCTGATGTCGCTGTACAAAGTGACATCAGAATTTCGGAATGTAACAAAGATCTGATTTTAATCAGATTGAAATACACCTGCATATATAAGAACAGTTTTTAAACATACTATTTACTTAATATCAGGATAAGTGAAATCTATCACTGAAAGAGCATAGAAAATGATCAGATAGGTAGTTTAATTGTCATAAAAATGACTCTAAGCCTCTGTAAACAGCGCTAGTGAAGATTGGTTGACTGTATGTTATTTTACGCCCCGTTCGAGAACTTTTCACTTTTATAGAAATGTCACATATATTGGCAAAAGGCTTGAAATTTAGACCTTTACTCGGCGCTTAGGGCCATTGAGCAGTGAGGGTTCTTTATCATGCCAACGCCTACATGTACCGTGATAAGGGGCCTTGGTTTTTAAGGTCTCATCCTAAAGACCTGCAACGTTTACTTCAAAGTGCCGAGAGCTTAATTAATGATGTAATACCCCCCACCCCCCAAAAAACACACACACACGCACAAATTACAAAATAAATCCAAAGGAGATATAAAACTAGCAATGAACATTATATTGATTACAACAAAAAGCAATATGAATACTATTGAGGTTGACATTTAGGCAAAGAACCATTTCCAGTTTCAAGATTATCATTCATTTATTTTTTAGGTATTCTTTGGCACCTTTAGTGGATTTTTACGATTTTTCTTTTCTTTCTTTAACCTTTCAAATAAAAGCAGTGGGGAAAAAATCTGACTTTTAAGATTCTGACCCTGAGATTTTCAAGAGTTAAAAGGTTCTATGTAAAAGTAACAAAGACATGTCAATGAACCCATTTCCTTAGGACACTTATTAAAATAGCAAGAAGTCATGTGCATTATGAACCCATTCCCCAGGACACTTATTTAAAAGGAAAGAAGTCATGTGCATTATGAAAAAAGAT